GAGAATTATTTTACCCAGGCAAGATGGTATATCTGCACTCCACATGCCCATGGAGTTGCACTCAGTGCTAGCTGTCCCATTCAGTATAAAGCCCTTGTCACAGGTTGTTGTGCACCGAGAACCAAAACTGAAGTAACCATTTGGGTCAAAACAGGACATGGAGCCATGAGTGGAATTTATTGGATCACATCTCTTAGCTTAAAGAAAAACAGACACCAGGGAGAGATCAGTTACACACACAATAAACATACAGAATAGTCAAACAGAGTTCACCGCTCACTTTGGGATGCAGCAGTGAGTACAGACTGTTTGGCATTTATTCTGATTGTATCTCATACTTTACTTTATACTTTAGCAATTGGTCATGTGTGGTCATACCTTGGCAAACAGGAAGTGCATGACTCCAGTTGCCCAGTGATGAACATTTCGTCATGTTTGCACCAATCAGTTTGAAACCTTCTTCACATTGCATGGCGCATGTTGAGCCATAGCTGTACACTCCTAGAGGGTCCTGGCATTGCATGGAGACATGGGGTGGAGCCTTTAAACTGTTACACTGTACCACTAGAGAAGAAGAAACAATATTACTCATCAGAACACTATGATTTTCTGTATCTTGTTTTCAGGGAGCTTATTTTCAGGGAGCCATGACATAATTTCTGTGATCCACCTTTGCATGTAGGTGTGGGTTTGTCCCATTGCCCTGAGGCCAGACAGGTGAGTGCGTCGTCTCCACTCAGGTAGAAGCCTTCCTGGCAGGTGAAGTTACACTGTGAGCCAAAGGAGAAAGGCTCCAGGGTGTCCACACAGGTCATGTTGTCATCAACAGGAAAGAAAATGGGGGAGCACTTTTTCACTGTGGTGGGATATAGATATCAATCACACACAGTCCACTCAATGGAAATCAGTGTTCTTATGAAATACATCAGTTTGAAGGGCTATGTATTATAAATACACTTTTATAAACATAGCATGAGCATGCTTTGGGGGCATGAATAACCATGCTGACATAATTTACAGTCAAGGGAAACAGCAGCAGCCTACCCACATTAAATATTGTTTTCGCAATGCAAGCACAAATGAGTGTGAAGTAAAGTGATAACAGCTGTGACCTGAATCTGGTCTGCTGTACTGTCTGGACAGGATGTGTGACTACACATTCAGGCCAGGAATTACTAAAAGGTGGCCACAAATCTATTAACAGGGGTCAAGTATTACAGTAAGGTAAGTAAATGAAAAGTATTTTGCAAGAAATATTCAGACAGATAATAAAAATAGCTTCTTAATTCTTAATTTAACAAGGACCATGCACAAAAAAAAAAAATCTCAAAATGAGATGAGATAATTTATGCCTGATTAAGCTACTTTACCTGTACATGCTGGGACACTGGCTGTCCACTGTCCTGTGTGGTCACAATGTATCTGCTCTTGTCCACTAAGCTCATAGCCTTCATCACATCTGACCTCACAGGTGGAGTTGTAGCTGTAGGGTGCAATGGGGTGGCTGCAGTTCATACTACCTGCACTGATGTTGGTGTGGTTTAGAACTGGACACTGTTCAACTAAGATAAACAGGGAGAAATGTTTTCCTTGTAACTCTGACATCTGAAATAACAATTGTTTTGATATTGTTGATATCAAGTTGCCATACCTTGACACAGAGGAACAGGGTGGTTCCAGTGTCCACTGGCTTGGCATAGCAGTTGTGGCGCACCCACTAACTGAAAGCCAAGTTCACAGTGGAAATGGCAGGAAGAGTTGAAACGATTGGACCCATAGGGATGGAAACAGTTGTGAGAACCTTGTTCTGGGTCAAGCAGGGGTTTGCATGCGATTGCTGAAGAAAAAGCAAAACAAAAAGATATAATTTAACCCCTCACAAAAACAGGTCTTGGCTGGTTTAAATATATTATTTTTTGCTCACCCTCTTCACAGTGTAAGCCCAGGAAACCAGGATGACACTGGCAGGTGTAGTTCCCTATGGTCTCAACACAATCTGCATGGATACTGCAGGAATCCTGTCTACAAGAGGCTACGGAGAGAGAACTCACATGCTATAATAAGTTTACAAGAATCAGTAAATGTGTCCATTGAACAAAATAAAGAGTGGTTTACCACTGTAGCAGATGGTTCCCTTCTTCTTGCGACAGTTCTCATTGTTCCACTTGGCGGTGTCTTTATCCCTCTTAATGTACATCTCCACACAGTCCTGACCCGATAGGTTGTCTGGCTCCCCTGGTGCCCAATTCTGATTCTCCTCCGGCACTTTCTTACCGCTTCGATCCCAGACCCACCCTATATCCACTTTCCGAACTCCAATCCAGTAATATTTTGGGTGAAACGGCAGCAGATTGTTGAGAAAGTCATTCTCCTTCTGGTTCTCTATGGCCACCATGCCTGTGAAGTGCTGCTTGCACCACTGGCTGGCATCAAACCATCTTCGGTTTGGACTGTTGCTGTAGTTGTAGGTCCATGCCTGTACTCCTCCTCTGCTGTTCAGGTCTAAGATTAGGTATATGGACAATGAGACAAAACTGAATTGGTGAAGCAAGAAAAGAAAGGAGTTTGAAAGAAATAGTGCCTACAAGATTATGCAAACCTACCTTGAGCAAATACAACGAATGCAGCTATCAGCACCCTATGATGCATGCTTTGTCTAGTATCAACTGATTTTTGAGGCATCTGAAATAAAAAGATATTTTATTCTTCATAATTGCATGCATGCGAGTCATGCATTAATGAATGTACAACACTTGCACTGATATTTCACAGGTCTTACCATTTGATCTGTCATCAGTCACACATTCATATTGTTGGATTTACTCCGCTTTGCTGACGATCAGTGGCAAAACGGAATTAATTGTCCTTCAAGGAATGAGTCAATGACAAATTTTGTAATATTACTTTGGCAGTAACTTCCTTTCAGGAAGGGCAACACTCCACCACCCATAACACTCTGGGAACACACACACCCAGACACACATACACCAGTACTCATAAAAACACATTATTCACCAAAATCCATTTTATTCAATTAAATGTATCAAACATATCACAGAATGCAACTCTAATGTTATTAAATGAGTTTACATATGCATGACCTGATAATAAACCATCATATATACACATTTTATATCCATGCAGTATATCCACATTAAGTTTTAACTTACTAATATTAAACTACGCAACACAACAATCTTTTTTTTTAATTAGTGTGCCCACATTACAAAACTTATTTCTATATCTCCTGCTCCTAAATGTAATTTAAATTAATGCAATAAACTTTTAAACTCTTAAACAGTGCATAAGCACCCACATAAAAAAAATTTAATACTATGTGTACATTTGTTAATGTGTTATTAAGATGTAACAAACAGAACAGGCAGAAATGGCATACTATTGGTTTCTGTGCAAGGAAGTTAAGACAGAGAAAGTTTTTCTAAATTTCAATATAAAAGTGGATGTGTGAAGAAGTGATGTTCAATGTATTTACAGTGTGCAATTGATTAGAAATATGCTCAAGAAACACTCTAGTGTATTTTTAAGTTGGCTGCTGGGCCATAGTTTCTCACTCCAGACAGTATATTAAACAAAACACTTAGCTAACTGATTATCCTATCATACAACCTGCACAGCTGATGACCGTTTAGGTTTACTTATAAACAATGTACTAAACATAATATGAATAACTGGGTAATTAGATCTATTTAAATATGACGATATGAATGAGGTTCAAGTTGTCCTTCATCCCTGTGCTTCACTGGATGGACATGTCACTTCTTCAGGCTGTCTATGAGGGACAAGCAGAATAACATTAAAGTGACACTGACTGAATGATTTACTGAATTAATACAGTCACTGTAAAATATACCGAACAGAAAAATTATACTTTTTAAACAGCAAGAAATTGTAACACTTTATTAAATAAACTTTTCAAATATTATTTGTGCATAAATGGGTGGAGCTGCTTTAGAAAAGTACATTTCAACACTGACCTTCCTTGGGCAAGTTTCTTTCCTGTGAGAAATTAACAGACAAACACTGTTAATGTCTGTTGCAATAACATTGCGTTGCATTACTATTTCTGTGAAATGTAATTGAGAAACACTAACTTTTTCTACGTTTCATCCAGCAAAAACAGATGCAGCAGAAAGCAGAGATGGCTCCACACCCAACCACAGCCATCAGAGCCTGTTTATAGCCTGAGAAAATAAAAAACATAGTCATTTTTCCTACAACACTTGATAGTGGAGTACTGCTCCTGCTCAGTATAATGACCTTTAATGTTTGATTTGAAGCAGAATAAATTTGCACAGAAACATCAGAGAAACAAATAAGGTGTATTTATTCTTTCATTAAAATATATTTAAATAATACTTTAAAAACACAGTTCATGACTTCTTACACATACTTGCACAATAAGGTCTTGGACCGCTCCAGACCCTGTTGACCCCACAGGTAACAACTGGCGAGCCTATCATCAGGAAGCTTGCATTGCATTTAAACTGACAGGTTGAGTTGAACGTCTGGTTTCCTCCCGAGCAGCTAAGGTTTCCGTTATCAGGCCGGGACAGAGGGGGGCATTCCACAGCTAGGGGCACAAACAGGTTAAGCTTTACCAGGGATACAGTTATGTAATGTCTTATGCTACCTCTCTATTGTGAATAAGCCATTTTTAGTGCACATACATGCTGATGCAAGTATTTTGATCAGTATTTTGAATGATCCTCAGCCTGACCTCAGGAAACAGAGGAAACAGATGCAGGGCTTATAATGACAATGTTAAAAGTCTGTCAAAATGTTTTATTTAAATTCTGTGAACTATGCAGAGGATTTTCTGTGGAAGGAGATAGTTAAATTCATCAGAATGTGAGTTTGTGATATTAAATATACTACAGTCTGACACTGAGTGACACCAGACCTTGCTGACCACGGTAGTTTTCCTTCCTCCTTTCCTTTTCCTTGGAGTTGTGTTTGTGTCTACCTGATCCAGTCCAATACTCACTCACTCACTCAAAGACTGTTTTGATGTACATATGGGCATGTGAGAATTGTTTTACCCAGACAAGATGGTATATCTGCACTCCACATGCCCATGGAGTTGCACTCAGTGCTAGCTGTCCCATTCAGTACAAAGCCCTCGTCGCAGGTTGTTGTGCACCGAGAACCGAAACTGAAGGAACCATTTGGGTCAGAACAGGACATGGAGCCATGAGTGGAATTTATTGGATCACATCTCTTAGCTTGAAGAAATACAGACACCAGGGAGAGATCAGTTACACACACAATAAACATACAGAATAGTAAAACAGAGTTGAGTGCTCACTTTAAGATGCCGCAATGAGAACAGACTGTTTGGTCTTTTTTTTTTATTAGAGTTAATACAATTAGTGCTCACCAGTTTGGCACCTGTCTCCCTCAAAGCCAGGTTCACAGAGGCAGGTTGTGTTTTGTATGGTCTCCTGGCATCTTCCTCTGCTACATGATGTTGTATTACATTGGGCTGTTAAGAAAAATGCAATACTTAAACAAACTACTTATTTTGAAACTCTAATAACCTTGAAAAAACAAGCAGCTTTACATACCTTTATAACAAACAGGATATTTTTTGTTAGCACATTTCTCGTCATTCCACTTCCCTCTATTTTTTCCTTCATTCAAGTAGATTTCCACACAAAACTCTGTGTCAACGTTGTTGTTGGGCTCGTTTTCTGCCCACGACTGATTACCAATCCACGTGCTGTTATTCCCAACCCAGGTCCAAGTTTCATTCTTCTGGTTTTTAGTGATTCCGATCCAATAATATGGACTACTACTTTTGTTTGGCAGGATTGAGACCAGAAAGTTATTCTCTTCCTGGCTTTGGATAACCACCATTTCTGTGTACTTGTCCTGGCAGAACTTTCGGGCCTTGGTCCAGTTCATGCTATTGTTTGAGTAATGATATGTCCAACCCAAGGTCATCTCAGCCAAGGTGCTACCTAATAAGAAAAGGTTAAGGACAACTCCAGTGTGATATTTCATCATCAGATGTAAAAGAGCTCATGAGCAGTGTTACATCTCACATTAGGAGATACCAGCAGTTATATATTTTTTTCTTAGTCTTAAAATTAATACTCACCAAGCAGGAGGATTAATGTCCACTTCATCTTCAGTGAGTGACCTACAAAGACCCCTTGTCTGTCCAAAAAACAAATAATCAGAAGACTTGCTTATTTACCCAGAATTAATATTTTAATATATAAACAATGTATTTTCTAAATTGTAAAAAACTTGCTACATATTTCAAATCCTTCTAATTTTATCAAACATAAAACATTATTCCACAGCAACACAGTAAGTGAATGTTAGTTTGCTGCAAGTTGGGACCAGTTTCAGGCTTTTATATTTCTCTTAGGCTATTCAGCCAAACATTATCATATAATACCTGGATGTTTACTGTGCAAAGTGAATGAATGTGATGACAGAATGACTCCTGTTCCTGGTAAAGGTAGGGTCAGAGGCAGATTTTTCAGCCATGCATAGAAAAAAACATATCTATAAATGGGAAGCAATAAACACATATTTAAATTAACAGAAGCACAGTAAGGGTCACCATTGAGTCTTGGAGCCAAAACAAACAAAGAGTTCCCCCAAAAAATTATAAAAAAGGGCAATGTTTTCCAATTCTTGCAATTAACTGCATGTTGCTGGTCCCTGCTTTTTTCTGGTGATCCTTTACAACCTTTACAAACTACGATTTCTACAAACTGGTTAGCCTACTGTACACTGCACCATGGAATGAAACCTTTTCCTTGTTACTAGAATAAACATATGTCAGTATCCTAGTTGACAGTTTTTAGTGACACTACGTCTTTGCGTTCTGACATGCTGTGAATTCAAGTTTTTAACAGCATCAAATTACAGAGAGACGGAGGGCCCACGCTGTCTGATGTTAGATATCAGATTTTGGTTCTGCTGAAGTGCTGACATAGAATATTTTGATGAAACAAACAATTGTGTGTAGAACATATTACCCCAGCAGTAGCCTTTCCCTTCCATGCATCTCACTGTTATTTAACTGTTCACCTCTGACTCTACCATTGTAATAGAGGTCACAGAAACAGACGAGAGGTCTGTACTGTATTTGGAAAAATGTTCTTTTTGAACATCTGAAAAAACACATGATGTCCTGCAATGTCAGCATAAATGTCCCTGCTCAAAGTGTGGGAACAAGTTGGTGCATGTGTGGAGCTTAAGCCTGAACCTCAGTGTACCAGTGTAGTGACATGACTATATATATTTTTAATTGACAGTAGATATTCATCATGATATTGGAAGGTGCATAAAAAGACCAAAAGTAAATGACGGCTTGAAGTTTTATTATGAATGAATAAACATCAGCACAGCTTTAAAAATACAGAAATATGAATAAACAAATGCAATAAATAGTACATAAATACAGAAATCAATTTAGTGACATTATTCACAGTTTTGCAATGACGTGGCAATACACCCACAACGTTATGTAACATTTACAATAACTTGAATAGAGTCACCTTTCCAGCATGCTCATAAAGCTATAGAACAACATGTTCAATATAAAACTCCCCTGGGGAGGAAATACAAGTCTGAACAACATTACAGAGTAAATTGTGAAATTCTGTGATAAAATTCAACAAAATAGAATACAACAATCAATTGCAAAAGTCTTAAGAAACCATTCCTCTTACTGTTGATACCGCTGATATATTGGTTTGTCCTGTTAACAAGTTATATACTGTATTTTTTTCATATTGTTCACATTACTATAACTGCTAATTCACATACAGTTACGTTAAAGATATATATAGTTGTCCTTAGTTGTCTCTGAAGTATATGATTGTGCTCTATATGAGGCTGTCAATGCTGTTTTTGTAGACCTGTGGAGGGGCCTCTATGTCAGAGTTGCTGTAAGAAAAGACAAAAGCAGAAGATGAGCACTGATATTCAACAAAACTATTTAAAAAAAAACAACAAATGTGTTATGTAAGAGAGATGAATGCTTGTCTAACCTGTTCAGCTCAAACTTGGTGGCTTTCTTTTTCAGTCGTTTCAGGATCCACACAGCCACAGACAGACCAGATAACGACAGAGCGCCCCCTCCTGCCAAACCAGAAGCAATGGCAGTAATCTGAGATGGGGCAGCTGTGGAAACATAACCAAAAGTTAATCATCTGATCAAGTTAATCATTTAAACTCCAACATGTATTTTAATCTTGTATTTTTTTATTTATATTTCTCCTAAAATTGTATCATTATTTTTGTTTTACCTTGGCAGGTGGGTTTCTCTTCCGTCCAATTGCCATGATGGTCACAGGTCAGCAGCTCATGTCCGTCTAATGAATAATCTTGATTGCATGTAAAGGAGCACTGTGAGTTGTACACCGGGTCTCTATCCGAGCAGTTGATATGACCATTTTCAGGAGCCTCGAGCAACGGGCATCTCACAGCTGTGGGAAAAGATAGTGAGAATATAGATGTTAACCGTCAGATATTATCACATTTTAGTGACACAACACTAACATACTACCTCAAATTACAAATAAAGTAAGTATTACAAATAGTGCAGGTGAAATGGGCATGTGTATACCTGTGCAGGTTGGTGGTGTAGAGCTCCACTGGCCCGGATTTGCACACTCCATGTTGTGTGCACCTTGCAGCTCATGGCCTTCTTCACAGCTAAAATTGCAGACCATGCCAAGTGGATGGGGGGTGGCAGTAGGTGATGTCAGAGAAGGCCTGCAGCTGATTTGGACATTTGTTGGAATCTCAGGAGCAGGACATTCTATTGCTAAAAAATACAAAATTAAAAAATTATGAAATGTCACAACAAAAAATCTGATTACAAATAGACTGTGAAAATGTAGTAAGTAAGTAGTTTTGTGAGCATAGATGTATGTCTTCAATACCTTTGCAGGTAGGTATGGCTTCACTCCACTGTCCGTCCTCAGAACACGTAATGGCGTGTGCTCCATGCAGTTCAAAGCCTGCTTCACAGCTGCAGCTGCAGTTGGTGTTTGGTCGCAAATCAGTCAAAGGTTGGCTGCACTGGGTAATCAGGTGAGCTTCTCCGTCTGGCTTCTGGCAAGTGATAGCTAATACAAATAAAATAAGTTTTAAAAAATGTTTGTCACAAAAGCACAAGACAAGAAAGCTCTTCTTAATTAAATGGCGGTTGGAATAGACTTGTACCCTCACCTTCACAGCGAGGCATTTTCTTGCTCCACTCAGCTGCAGACGTGCATGTCACACTGCTCGGGCCCACTAGGCGGTAGCCGGCGGCACAGCTGAAGCTGCAGGTGTTTCCGTAGCTCAACCTCATGCCTGCATCGTCTCCACAGCTGGCAACGCCATTCTGTAGCTCCTGGAGAGTGGGGCACTGGACAGCTGTAAATCAGAGAGAGGGACAGAAGAGGTCAACAGTAGCCCTTTTAAAAAAAAACATCAAATCCGATTTCCCGCATAATACGCAAACACAAATGAACATTAATATAATGGATGCTATAAAATCCTGCAAGGTAGAAACATAAAAATGTGGGCGTACCATCACAAGACGGTTGTGAGGAATTCCAAATTCCTGACGCTTCACATTGGAGAGTGTTAGATGGGGAACCAGTGAGAACAAAGCCTTCATCACAGGTGAACACACAGGTGGACTGGTAGCTGGAGGAGCCCAGAGGATCGGAGCACTTCATGGACCCTCTTAGTGGTTGAGACAGCTTCTGACACTGAACCACTATGGACCATAAAAAACACATTACAGGAGGCTCCATCACTGTGATAGTAACATTTTGTTACTTGAAATCAAATTCATTTAAGTCAGTATCACATCACTTAATTTATTCATATTTTGCAGATTTGCAATACACTTCAACTCACATTCACATGTAGGACGCTGCTCTGACCACTCTTTCGAGGCAGTGCATGTCAGCGGTCTTTGGTTACTCAGCTGGTATCCCTTCTCGCAGGAATACTGGCACAAGGATTCGTAGGAGAAGTTTCCATACTTATGAGTGCAATTTACACTTCCTTTATATGGAGGGGTCTCCACCTCCTCTTTGTTGCACTTAACAACTGCCAACAATGAAAACAAGACAGTTAGATATCAGGAACTAGGTGTAAGTGACTTAAAGTAATGTAAGCTTGAAAGAAGCACAATATCAGTGTTTTTTCTTACCTTGCTCACACTTCTCTCCGTAGAAGCCTTCAAAGCAAGCGCACATGTGGCTGTTGATGGTTTCTACACAATTTCCATGGAGGCACAAGCCATCCTTACAGGCAGCTGGGGGAAAGAAGTACTTTCATATAGCTTGCATAAAATGTTATAATAATTTATTTTCACTATCAAAACACCCTCAATACATCATTTAAGATAGTGAAATAAAGATATTCCCTAATAATAAACAAGAATACCAAAACTAAGGCAGCTAAAATGATATATGTATATCCTAATCCCTAGCTTTTGCTCACCTGCGTAGCACAGAGCGGTCTTTTTCTTCGCACACCTCTCATCGTTCCACTTGCCTGGCTGCTGATCCCTTTTAATGTACATCTCCACACAATCCTCCTTCACCCCCGAACTTTGACCATTTCTGCCATTGTTTGGTTCGCCCTTTGCCCAGTTGGTTGCTTCTTTAGTCAGAGCCTTGTTAGTCCCTACCCAGGTCCAGATGTTATTTATCTTGCGGATCCCAATCCAGTAGTAGTATTGTTTCATGGGCAGCCAGCTGTTGAGATGCGCGATCTCCTCCTGGTTCTGGATAGCCACCATGTCTGTGTAGTGCTCCTTGCACCAGTCTCTAGCTTCCTGCCAATTCATGGTGTTGTTGGAGTAGAAGTAGGACCAGCAATCTACACTAGTCCACATGCACAACACTGAGGATGGAGCACAAAGACACATTTAGACGGCATGGTAATAAGGATGATTTTTTTTTCATATCTAGAAAAAAAGGTTCTGTTAGCATTAGATTTACATACTTGAACAAAGAAAGGTCAAGCTGATCCATGAGGCAGATGTCTTAGAACCACGGGCCTGAAGTATTTCAAAGCGGAACTGTAAAAATCAAGGAAAAAAAACATGAATTAAGATAAACTGGTACCTACGTGCATTTCTGATCACAAGCAAACAGTGAAGGATTTTGCACTAAAGCATGCATTTAAATTGATACCTCTACACTCACCATTTTAGTGCTATGTGTGATAGCCTACAGAAGACCCTTGTAAGGATGAGTTTTGAGTTTTGGATGAGAGGTGCCTGCTTTTATACGGTTGGTCAGCCTAGTTTAGTTTCCTGGAAATTCATCCCAGTCAGGCTTTTCACTGGAAATCCCCACGCCCCCACCACTGCAGCCCCATCCCACCGTCCTTGGAAAATTTTCCTCTCCCTCTCTCTCACTTTGAAAAGAAAAAAATCCTTTGTTTAAAGTTTTTTTTAGTTTTATTATTCATGTGAAAAGAAATGAAAAGAAAGCAAAAATACTACAATAAGCAAGAAAGGGAAAGGGAAATATTGTTACTTTTACCTTTTACACTACACAACAAATACTACAATATACAAATAAACTGAATTGATTTGAATTCAATTAAATAGAATTTTTATCCGAAACATGATGAACTTATAAGATATTATGTCTTTGTTTTTAGATTGAACTACTCAGCAATATATAAAGTAGTTAGAAGTACATCTGGTTCAGCCAGCTAGTACATTTAAATGCTGTTTACATTAATGTATAACTATTATTAATTTGATAATATAAATGATATAATAATGTTAGACATTGAAAGGTGCCATTTTGCATTTACTTTTATAGAATTAGATCGTAATACTTCTGCATTTTGATTTAAATACAATTTTCAATGACTTTTACTCGTAATGAGTATTTTAGTTCTACTAGTACTTTTACTAAAGTAAAGGATCTAAATACTTGCCTAAAAATTGGCAGATGTACTGACAATGTACCAAGAACGTTGCAAATTATCTCACATAAAAATGACAAAGTAAAGCACGCCATAAAAAAGTGATAAGTTTCCTCTGAAAGCATGATAGCGCACATACTGATGCACGTACTACAGTGAAAGGCGACTAAGAAGGAAATTGCGGTCTTGGAAGCTGTGAAATCCTGTGAGCTGATAAGACTCTTATTTGGATTAAAACCTTTTAAGGATTTTTGCCCAAATGAAAGTGTTATTTTAGCAGCACTAATGAGACCATTTGTGTATGTAAAGCAATCTAGAGTAGTCTAAACTTCATGAGTGTGCATGTTGATTCATTGGTAAATATTAGTAATAGTACAATGTGCGCCAATGGACAGTCCATAGACTGGAACATGCTTTTCACAGTTAAAAATAAATAAATTGACATGTCCTGTCAAAGAATGTACGCATCAAAAGAAGAAATAGGAAACAAAACAATGCAATGGCATTTAACAAACACTTTACTGGTATTTTTTACGAGTGTCCAGGGACGGGAAATGTGCAGTGCATGAGCAGAGGCGCCTGCCGGCTGCCTGAGTTTCTAGAAGTGACAGTCTATATCCTTCCTATCTGGAGAGTAGCCACTGTTGCTTGACACCTCTTAACCTCTACCCCTTCCCCTAAAAGGATTATATAAACTACCTAATTAGCTCATACAGAACAAAACCCAAGGGAAAAACTTAATTTCAGCTTTGATAAGAGAATCATAGATGCGTATATAGATTTGGGCTTTTATCACAGTGAGCTGATTGTGGAATGGTCTTTATGCGAGACCCCTAGATCTATTCTTGCATTTCATCATGCATTAAGTAAAGTGGGCTAGGGCAAAGAAACACTTAATGTGGGTAAAATCACCACAACTATGACATTAATATAACTGAATTTAATTATAGACTACTATATGCGTATATAATAAAACAAAGCCTGTTACTGCATTTTGATTGCCCTTGTTTTAACTACAATTAATAACTATAGATAACATTTAATGAGAAAAAGTAACATGTTTAGTCACCATAAATCACAGAAAATCAAAAGATTTAACTACACTGTCTTATTTGGCTTGATAAAGCAGGAAACTCTCTCCCGAAAAAAGGTTTGTGACAGTGTCACGCACTTCTGAGATTTTCTGGCTCCAAATTAAAAGCTGCAGGATGGTTAAAAATGACAAAATTCATTCATTCATTCATTCATTCATGTATGTGTGTGTGTATATATATATATATATAGAAAACATCTATCCTGCTGCCTGCTGAAGCTTTGGCTCTGACCTCTGACCTTCCACAGACACAGGAAAATCATCAACGGAAATTACATATCAAGTAGAAAGATAAAAGAAAAGGTCTCCTGGGTGAAAAATGGGCAGACATTAACCACATTGTTGTTCTCTTCCCTTTTCAATGAACTTTGCTAAATGGCTCCACTGGTGCCAATCAACAGGATACTGGCTCCACAATCTCCGGGATTTGACAACTGTAAAATTCGAACAGTTCCCTCTTACTTCCATAGCGGGTCGCCAGCGTGCAGCTTTGTCGTCAATCATGGCTACAGGTTGCGAACAGCCTGTCTCTTTAAGACAGGAAATAGACGTCCCGGTTCAGATATAGGCATTTGTAAGGACGCACCATGTTGTCTGTCGTCGCTAGACCTCTGAGCAAAGCAGTCACTGGTGCCTTGAGTAAAGCTACGGTCGCAATGGCAGACGCTCTGGCTAAAATCCCCGATGTGGAGATTGATCCAGAGGGAACCTATAAGTACATACTGGTCAGAGTGAAAGTCAAAGATGGCGATGTGCATAAAGACATAGTACGAGGCACAAAAAGTGCAGAGTATCACAGTAAGTCCATTACTGTAGTTTGCTGCCGAGGTCCGTTTAAGTGCGTCAGTTCAGCTCGAGATAGCGCAGATGACTTGTACAGTAATGTTGGTGCAGCATGGACTCATTTGACCCATGGTGCACCCTGCAGACGTGCATAAATACTGCACAGCACAGGCAATGCTTGCCAACCTTGTACCGTGTATTGTTTATTGCAAATATTGGAGGCAACAGCTTTAGAGGATTAGATGTGAGATGTGTTTTTTTTTTTTTTTACTTCCCTGTAACTAAACCACATTGTATGTTTTGACTGATGGAATGATTTGGATTATTTCCAGATCATATATTTGAGAAGGTCAATCCAGCTATGGAGGCCCTGGGGATGGAGTGTAAATGCCTTGGTGGAGGGAAGATAGAGCACAACAGCCAAGAGAAAAAACTAAGGGTGTTTGGAGAATCAACTGTAAGTTCATTTGACTGGAAATGCATTCAAAGCAGAATCAAATACTCAGTAATATTTTAACATGATAATGTAAATGCTTTCTCATTCATTTGCAGGCATTTGGTAAAGCAGACCATTCTGTGTCTGCAGAGAAGTTGAAGAGTGCCTTCAGCGACTATGAGATCACCTGGTCTGATGACAAAAAATAGAGTAGAAGAAGAGTGTAAACCTATTTAAAATGTTTCTTTATTTTGTTAATACAAAAACTACATCATAATTGACCCTTCTGTACAACCATCATTTCATTCAAATACATCATTCTGCATTTAACTGCTTGTGTCTGATTCTGTGAAAACTGACTCCTTAAAAATATTTACACAAGCTCTGCAGGTGTTTTTTTTTATATTTAAACTAAAATGGGATGTAGTATGAATTAGAATAGAATGATTCTTTATTTATTGTTGTTTGATTTACTTACAGAATTGAAGGCAGGTTGCCAAGCGTGAAGTCCATAGAGGAAGGGGAGAGTCCGTTGGAATCACTAACATATCCTGTTACTTTGAGGGAAAGTTTCTTGTTTAAATAACCAGAAAAAGATAAGAGAGGCTTTTATTTGTCGTCACGGGTATATGCTTTCATTTTTGTGTAATGCTAAACAATGCTAAACTTCAAACTAAATTCCACAGTGCTTAACAAACAATATAAAATATAAATAAAGAAATAAAATGTGAAGAAAAAAAGTTACAGAGGGATAAAATGGCCTGAGTGGAGACGTACTTACAATTATTACACTTTTCATCTCTTTTCATCAACATTTAGAATTCAAGACTTTCTTTTTTTTGTCTCTTTATGCATTATTTAAAACTAAAGTGAAAAGTCAGGGGATCGCCAAAGTCAGTAGGATTCCTCTGGGGACTACAAATGTATGTACAAAATTTCATAGTAATGCAATTAAGGTTGTCCTAGTATGTCAGTCTGTCAAAGTATAGTGGATCCATTGAGCATTTATTTGTAAAACACAAATCCCACCAGAAAAAAAGAAGAAAAAACACTCATATATATGTTGGACACTTTCATCACTATTTGTGATCTATCCTGAAAGCAAGAAAACCAAAGTTCTACTCTGTATTGTTAGGAAGTGATGATACCGAGGCTATGTTTTTAAAGGGCTGTCTTGATAGAATATCCAGTTTTGTCCTTCCTTTGGTCTTGTAAATCTATGTTAGTCTATTAACCACACAATTAGTTACTTTATTCCTGTGAGATTCCATTATCCATATTACAAGAGTCTACATCCTTTTCCTCTGGACTTTCCCACAAGACTTTTTTTTTAATGGTACATGTTGTATTTCAGCAGTGGAGCACATTGCCATCACTTTCCTTTTTTGTTTCTGACTCACCATTTACTGTTGAAAAAACCCAAGAGGAAGATTAGCACATAACTCTGCAGACTACATGAACAGAAATAACTACTGTTGACACTGAAGAGCGCTCCTTTTCGTTTAAACCCCATCAGTGGCCTTAACATAGACACCACTGGTGTGCCAGTTACCATGTGACCTCAAAAAAGAAAAACAAAAAGGCATCTTCCTTTTCATCCCAAATCCGGGAGCAGTTTCCTCTAAACTGATAACCTTTCTATTATCTACAAACAGGGAGGTCAGCACAGGAGGGAGAAATATTAGACTGTGTTAGAGTCACCGCTCTTCTTGGGAAATGTTTTAAATGTTACAGTAAAAGTTTAATGAGATTTCACATAAAACATTAGACTTGTCTATGACCAAACCGTAATCAGTCTGTGTCGTCATGTAATGGTTATAAAGGCGATTTCTATAATCCAGTTAGATGCCTTTGTCATAATCTTTACAATCCCTAAAATGTATCAGATTTTTTGAAGATCTGTTGGTTCAGTTCAGATCTTTATTGTCCCTCAAGGGGAAATTGATTTACAGTAGAGATGATAGATTAGATTAATTTTAATTAATTCTAATCTATCTAATCTATTCTCTCAAATTTGTCTTTCACAATATTTCTGTTTATAATGATGAAAATAACAGTTTACAAATGGAAAAGACAGACACAGTCCATCCTAACATCAAGTGTCTGTGTTGAGGTGCACTTGGTCAAAATGCTGAAACACAGGAGATGCTGAACTTTGTCCTTCTTGTGGACAGGGCAAGAGAAAATAATTTTCTTTGGGAAGCAAAAACAAATCTGAAACATGCTTGTTATGATCTTGCAATAGCCAAACTACTGTATTTATTTTTTTGTACCAAAACCTGTTTTTTTATGTTGAGATTAAAGAAATGAACTGGGTGAATGAATCAGTTGTGTCTGATTGCTCAATCTGATTCAGTTAGAGGTGAAAATACCATATGTTTTCATATTTCCTTCCATGCCTACATACACTGCAAGCAGTATTGCAATACACAGTTTGTGTATAGAGATAAGCATCAATGTGGAGTCCTGTTTTATAAACAAGAAGTTAGTCCCTTCCTGCAGCGACTGCAACTAACACCTCAGGCTGTTGGGAAACAAAGGTGTAGTCAAAGCGTGATAGTACTTCAATGCTCAAGATCTTATCAGTGAAACAATAGCTCACCAGACACTGATTTTATGGAGTCAATCAGGTCACAGCCAACAGAAATTCCAGGCTCCTAAAGGATAAATATCACCCCTTAACTGATTTAAATACAATATAAAAATTCCCAATCATTGTCTGCCTATCTGAATGGTATCAGTAAGTATTAAAAATACGCTATATAAAATACGTATATGTGTTTGGCCATTCATGAAATTGTGATTTCAAAATATTTATCCATTCTCTGCTTCATTTATCACTGGGTCACAATGGATTATGCAGTCTGTAGTGAATCTTTTTTTTTTTTTAAACGATGTGTTTTGCTCAGTTTGAGAGGATGGATAAATAAATGACTTTGATCCTTGATAGAAAGTGACAGAATCAAAATCCATACAGATCTTTACATTATCCTTAAGACCCCCTACCTGCCTCAGTTGGCTATGTAAGCTTGATAAATCATTATAAAGTCATTATATGGATATATTTTGGTATATATTTCGATTACAATATATTAGACAAAATCAGTGTCAGTCCTAATTTTATTGCTTTTGTGTATTTGATCCTCATGAAAGTGTCACTGTTTATGCTTCCTCATGTTCATTAATTAAGCCCAACTTTACTTTTAAACTTTTGTTGTTAAATTCTAAACACACAAATAATAAAAACATATTTGTAATTGTAGGACCAACTCCATTTTTTTTAAATGTGTGGTATTTTTTAAGCCCAGCACAAGACAGAATATATCACAAGTAAGCATAACATAGGGCCCATAACATAAATCTCGCATATAAATATATATATGATATATATAGTGTTGTAAGGAGATAACATGGTGACCATTATACTGTACTTTTGGGTGTTTTAACTGAACCCAGAGTTGGTTTTACCTGACTTTTATTATGGACATCAACATTAGAATAAATCAACACGAAAGAAATATCAAATTGTTGATGAATGCACTATATAGCGTTTGATAAATGTTCTGTCAGCAATGTTTCACATTGTGACTCTGCCCTTGAATTTATATTTTAATCATCAATTTTCTTTAAGCAAAGCCTTTTATTTTTGAATTACTATTCAACTGACACTTAATTAGTTTCATACAATAGAAAATGTACTTTTTACAGGTAAATATGTATAGTATTAGTACGCATTTTACCACCTTTAATTTGATACCCAGATTTATAGTGATAGTTGTTATTTTCAGCGCTTTGCAGCCGTTGAGTCCTCTTATTGGTTGAAAGCTTTGGGGTCTAACATTTCAACCAATCACAGTGACGGTAGGTGAGCCGCTTTGCTCACAACGTCACATCCGACTCAGTGAAACGGCGCGCGGTACAGATCAACAAACTTTAGTGGTTCACAGAAATGGTGGCGTTAAGAAAAAACAAAGTCGTAGCAACGTCTGTGTGACTTTATGCTTCTGAAACAGAAGACACAGTGTAACTTTATGGTAAGAAGATATACATATTATCCACATTAACACTAACTACCACGCTAACGTTAAACGTAAACGTTAGTTTTAACAATACCCTAGCAAACACATAGCGACATTTACGTTAGCCTCGGTTCTTTCTTGTCAAAATAATATCCGACTTCTTAGTAACATCTGCTTTTTAGACGAAAATACTGATAAAGCTATCGTGCTAAACTGAGTCTGCTTGAGTGACTAACTCGGTGCCATTGTTGTAAAACTTTCTGTTTGCACAGTTGTCCTGACGTCTCCCGGCGACTGCTGTCATCATGTCCCAAACCAACACTTCTCTTCTGGACGAGGTGGTGCAGTGGAGTCAGGAAACCTGCCGCCAGGAGCTCAAGTCTGTCCTGCCTCAACTCACCATATCCTCTCAACTCACTCAGTTTCATTGCTGTGATACCGTGATTCATAGTTTCATACAAATGGTCCAGTGATATTAAAACAAAAGCACAAAAGATTGTAAAAACATTGAATAAATAATACAAACTTTGGGAGTAGGTCTATAGTTTAAAATACATATTATCTATAGAGTTATTTTTTTAATGAGGCAATATGCCTGTTATTATGAATAATATTGAACACTTCAAACCCTGTCGAGATGATAAAGTATTGTCTTGGTCAAGCTGGGCACACATTTGCGGTTTGCTTAAGCTATTCTGTCATCATATTTCTTGCACTATTATTATTACAATCCTGATGTATTTGGCACACTTTATATAGGGGAAATGAATTTGCTTTAATGCTGTGGTTTTCCTTGACTGTTTGCACTCTTTGCATCACAAGTCTGAGAGTTGGGACGATCATATACGTAAGTTTCTTCACTGCACAATTTCCAATGGCAAACTGCTTACTTTGTGCCGTCAGTACTGTTTGTGATCCAAGTATGAACAGTCTTAAAAACATAACATCCCTACAGGTATACTGAAGATAATTACGGAAATGTTCCTCCCTCATGTTGCTTTGTCAGAGCTGGAGGCTGAGTGCTTCTCCAAAATCTTACCAAAGGTAAACAACATGACGAATGCATATTGTCTTTAGGACCTTTTATGTGAATAACCATCACAAGGATTTCTTAAATAACAATAACACAGAGTTGCCGCAGGTCCTGGGAAAAGTCCTTAAGTTATATTCTAAACTTAGGGCCATTAAATTTCTTAAACAGCATAAAATTTAGTTATTTAAAACTGCTAATATAACATTTTAGATATTAATGTCAGTTTTCAGTGTCAGCAATATTTGCCACAGTAAATCTTTGAGGGATTTGTTTTTTTGTGATTGTAGGATTTGTTAATAGAATAAATTGCTGTCTTGCAACCACTTTGTTGACATCTTCCTTTAAAAGTCCATTGATTAGTCTGTGTGAATGTCTCTGTCCTTATCTGCCACGAATGTCTGCAGGCGGTGACAATGTTTGACAGCATGATGAAAGAAATCTTGGACCAAGTTGGAGGGCTATCCAGTCAAAATACTGAACTGTGTTCCTTACTAAGAAATATTCTACAGGTACTGTTATTATTGCTGATTTAGTTTTCACATTGCAAGGCTGTGCATTTCAAAATGGTACAATTCGTTCCTTACAGGTTTATATGATACTGTATTTCTCACTTCACTCCTGACCAATATGTTGTTAATATGCTGTTTTCAGGCAATGATGCAGATAATTGATGCTCTGTCCACATGTGTACGTCACGTTGGCACGTTTGAGGAAGCACCTGACTTAGAAGCCATCCGCTCGTTACCAACTTGTATCCTGAAAGTCCTGAGGGAAACATTTCAGCACTGCAAGGTTGGTCTGTTTGGTTCATGAGTGGCTGATGATATATTATTTATTTATTTAATTGTATCTGAGCAGAGGTTACTTTCAATCTGTATTGCGTAATAAATTATGCTGTGCAACGCTAACTATACTATTGAATATTTTAAAAGAACTCTGCAGGTCATTTGCACCTCCTTCTCATTTTTCTTGTTCCTGTAATTTGTTTATTAGTTTCGTTTATTGTTTATTACCAGAAGTATTATATGCGGTGTCAAGAGCTCAAGCTACTCATTAACTGGAATATGATGAAATGATGTGGTGATAAGCATCCTGCAGCAGGAAAAGCGACCACTTAGGGATGTTTTTTTGTTTTTTGTTGGTGAAAGTCTATAAAAACAATAAAATGATGAGTTTAAGCATACTCTACATGTTGTCTTCAGGACAGTGAGGTGGTTTACTGTGGCCGTCTGTCCCTGGTGGCTGACCTGCTGCAGGGACTTTTCAAAGAGGCCTACACCCTCCAGAAGGGTCTTTTGGAGCTGCTGGACAGGATCTCCCTCGAAAGCAGCGCCTCAGAGGAGGAGGTCTCTGATATTGTAACAGGTGTGTGTTTCTGTGTTTATTGTGCTCATTTCCAGCTCTGTTCTGTGCTAGAGTAGGTTTGCATGATTCACTTTTCAAAAACATCCTTATTTATCTTATACCTCATTATTTGACATTCTGTTCTTTAGTATCAAAATCAGACATTGTAACATACAGTGGCAAGAAAAAGTATGTGAACCTTTTGGAAGTTC